GGTCCCCCGTTGCTTTATAGTGGTCTTCCGTCACCTCGTGGTGGTCCCTCATCACTTCGTGGTGGTCCCCCGTCGCCTCGTGGTGGTCCCCCGTCGCCTCATGGTGGTCCCTCGGCGCTTCGTGTTGGTCCCCCGTTGCTTCATAGTGATCCCTGTTGCTTCATGGTGGTCCTCCGTTGCCTCATGGTGGTCCCCCATCACCTCATGATGGTCCCTCGGCGCTTCATGTTGGTCCCCTGTTGCTTTATAGTGGTCCCTGTTGCTTCATGGTGGGTCCCTGTGGTCTTGTGGTGGTCCCTCGGCACTTTGTGTTTGTCCCCCGTTGCTTCATAGTGGTCCCTGTTGCTTCACGGTGGGTCCCTGTGGTCTCGTGGTGGTCCCCCGTCACCTCGTGGTGGTCCCTCAGCAGTTCGTGTTGGTCCCCATTGCTTTATAGTGGTCCCTGTTGCTTTATGGTGGGTCCCTGTGGTCTGGTGGTGGTCCCCCATCACCTCGTGGTGGTCCCTCAGCAGTTCGTGTTGGTCCCCATTGCTTTATAGTGGTCCCTGTTGCTTCATGGTGGGTCCCCATCACTTTGTGGTGGGTCCCCATCACTTTGTGGTGGTCCCTGTGGCCTCAGGGTGGTCCTCCATGTCTTTGGGATGGTTCCCCATCTCCTTGTGGTGGTCTCCATCACTTCATGGTGGTCTCCCTTGCCTCGCGGTGGTTCCCTGTTTCCTCATGGTGGTCCCCCGTCACTTTGTGGTGGGTTCTCATCTCCTCGTGGTGGTCTCCACTGCTTCGTGATGGTCCCTGTGGCTTCCTTGTAGTCCTCTGTCTCCTCGTGGTGATCCCCATCTCCTCATGATGGTCCCCATCACCTCATGTGATGCCGTTCTTCCCTCTAGGATCCTTCTCTCCTCAACAACCGTGTCTTGCTCCATCATGCCAAAGCCGGGACGGTCATTGCCCGTCAAGGGGACCAGGTGGGTCTGGGTTTCAGGGACCTGGTGTGGCATCTTTCTCCCCCCACCCTCTATTTCCGTGGGGTGCTACTCTTCCTACTCTTGCCCTATGGGTGGTGGGAGGCGGGAATAATCGCCAGAGCCATCTGGAGGGTGCAAAACACCCTGTGAAGAGGACCAGAAGAAACCCCAAGGGATGCTGGTGGGACCCCTCATGGCTGGGGGTCCCAGGTGGCCCCCATCGTTGATAGGGTGCCATTTTGGCAGGACGTGAGCCTCCACTTCGTGCTGTGGGGCTGCCTGCACGTGTACCAGCGGATGATTGACAAGGCGGAGGACGTCTGCCTCTTCTTGACGCAACCCGGTGAGATGGTGGGACAGCTGGCCGTGCTCACCGGCGAGCCCCTCATCTTCACCATCAAGGCCAACCGTGACTGCACCTTCCTCAAGATCTCCAAGTCGGACTTCTACGAGTGAGTCCCGGCACCGGTGGAGGAAGTTTGGGGCAAAGGATTGATGCCAAAGGGAATTCCTGCGGTGAGCGTGGTGGTGGCATCTTTTGGGGCCACCGCCGTGTTCCCCCCAACTGCTGTTGACCCATAGGATCATGCGGGAGCAACCCAGCGTGGTGCTGAGCGTCGCCCACACCGTGGCTGCCCGTATGTCACCCTTCGTGCGCCAGATGGACTTTGCCATCGACTGGATGGCGGTGGAGGCCGGCCGGGCGCTCTACAGGTGGGTACCAATGGATGGGTGCCCACCTCAGCTTGGTGAGGACCACCTTGGCAGGGGGCTGAGGTCCCACTGGTGGTGTCCCCCAGGCAAGGGGACAAGTCGGACTGCACCTACATCGCGCTCAACGGCCGTCTCCGCTCCGTCATCCAGAAGGGCAGCGGCAAGAAGGAGCTCATCGGGGAGTACGGCCGCGGGGACCTCATCGGCGTGGTGAGAGCCATGTCGGGGCCGAGCGATGGACACCCTATACATCTTGCCGATACCTCTTGGCTATATGTCTTCTTCTCCAGGTGGAAGCCCTCACCCGGCAGCCCCGTGCCACCACGGTCCACGCGGTCCGGGACACGGAGCTGGCCAAGCTGCCTGAGGGCACCTTGAACAACATCAAGCGCAGATACCCCCAGGTACCCCTAGATCCTCATCCTCTTCCCATGGAAGGAACGTGTCCCCATGTCTCCTCCAGTCGGTGGCTGCGATGCTCGTTAAAACCAGCTTAAATTAAGGAATTAAAGACGTGATTAGAGCTGTTGGAGGAGGAGGGCTGATGTGCTAAAGGGTTGTCCCTCTCTGAGGTCCGCAAGGATGGGTGGTGGTGGTGGCACCCAAAAAGGCGTGTGGGACACCAGTCTGGGGTGTTAATGAGTCTCCAGCTTGGGAAGCCCTGCCGGGTCTGATGGCCATCCGTGTCCTCGTCCCTGCAGGTTGTCACCCGCCTCATCCACCTCCTGAGTCAAAAGATCTTGGGAAACCTTCAGCAGCTCCGTGGCCCCTTTGCAAGTAGGTCCCGAAGGGATTAGGGACAAGGGGGTGCTGGTGGCCGTCATCGGAGCGACACGTGGAAGGTGTCCACCACCCCATCGTGGTGTCCCCCCACTGCCACCGTGTCTCTGTCCATGCAGGCTCTGGCTTGGGCATGGCCTCCAGCTCGGAGCCCACCAACCCCACCAGCAACCTGTCAACAGTGGCGGGGGCGCCGGCG